TTCCTCAAACACATTCTCGACCATAACAATACAATTCCCACACAAGAGAAGGTCAACGTGCAAAACCTCTTTGAGTTGCTAAATCCTTTTTCGATTTGAATATTGCAAAGTTTTGCTTTTTCTTAATAGACAACAGTAAAAATCGCTGAATATCGTCGTTTATTATCTCATACCCATTCAGTTCTTGTATTAACCGGTGCAGGAATATCAGCTGAATCTGGTATTCCAACATTTCGTGGTGCTGGAGGACTTTGGAGACAATTTAAAGCTACAGTATGTTTTTGTATTATCTGGAAAGAAAACTTTGCTATATTCAAATCGAAAAAGGATTTAGCAACTCAAAGAGGTTTTGCACGTTGACCTTCTCTTGTTTGGGAATTCTATTGTTATCGTCGAGAACTCGTTCGAACAAAACAACCAAATAAGGTTTTGATTTTAATTTTATTGTTAAATAAATAAATTTAAAGATTATGCCCCATATTGCATTAGCTAAAGCTGAAAAACAATTTGAAGAAGAAGAAAAACTATTTAATATTATAAGACAAAATGTTGATAGTTTGCTATTTATTAAGAGAATATTTCTATTTAAAAAAACAAATAGCAAGAAAATTTTCTTTTAGGGCTTCATCGAAGAGCAGGAACAAAAAATTTAATTGAAATGCATGGTGACTTTTTTGTTTAGGTTTTCTTGGTTTTTAATTTATTTTCTGTTTCTAATTTTGAAAAACAAAAGGAAATCTTTTTATGGTTCAATGTACTTCTTGTCAATTTATTGAAGAAAATGATGCAAGGCCAATTTGTGAATCATTAAGAAATCGTGCGTCTTCTATATTTCTATTTGTTTATCATTTATTTTAACAGATATTTTATTTATTTAGATCACCCGATGGAAATCCTCCTGAAATAGATGAAAAAAGATCTTCCTCGATGTACGAAACGCCGATCTCTTGTTCGTTCTCATATTGTTTGGTTTGGTGAACATATTTGGGATGATGCTCTAGAAAAAATTCAAAAAGAAATTCAACTATGTGATTTATTTATAGTTGTATGTTTTAGTTATTTTAATTTGTCTTAAATATTGAAATTTTTAAAAGGATTGGAACATCATCTGTCGTTTATCCAGCAGCTGGATATGCATCGATTTTTGCTGAGAAAAATATTCCCATTGCTGAAGTTAATATTGAAACAACACCTTCAACTTGAATTGCAACGTAAATTTACCTTTTTGTTTTGATTTTGTTTCAAAATATTTTATTTTTAGTAATTTTTTTCATGGTTTTGCTGCACAAATTGTTCCTCAATTATTATCAGTCAATCTTCATGATGAATAATTTAGATACACAAAATCGAATAGATAGAATTTTTATTGAATAAACATTTTTGTAATACAAAACAAAATTATTTTCTCTCAATCAATTTGTTACTTATTGATTTCATTGGTTTAGTATCAAGACTTTTTAATGAAGACATGTTTTTAATCTCTTTTGAAAATGAATTTCTTTTACTAAAAGAATAAATTAACAAGAGATTTATTCTATGGATATATGAGATTATTAATATGAATTATCGAGTAAAAAAATGATTTAAGAAATCAATTAGACAAGGATTAACTATTGACAATTAAAAAAAAAGCATAAAATGTATTATTATGATTACACTTTTTAATAGAATATAATTTTTGAAAATTTATATCTTTTTCGATGAAGGAGCGAATATCTTACTCGTAATTTTTCATTTGATATTTTCTACTTGTTTTGTGTGAGTAAAAAGAATTTTTCGTCAAAATATCAAAGCTATTTTATCATTGAATGTCTATTCATTCATTACTGACAAAGAGAAATCTATTAAATATCTAGAAGATAATTTTCCAGTTTCGATCTTAGCTGTGAGTTTAATTTAACTGTGATGATTGTATAGAAGAATTGATTTATTCATTAAGATAATATTCATTTAATCAACTGGAATCTTTTCTCGTCCTCAATATAAATGGAAGACATTATTTTGTACAAACATGTTTCAAATATGTTTTCACGAAATTCAAAACATTGAATTTTATCATAATCCATTAAGAAAACAATATTTTCCTACTGGAGAATTTTAATATCGAAGCATGTTTGTCATATGTTTTACATAGCAGAAATAGTTAGGTGTCCAATTATTAAGTTGGAAAATTTCTAAATGTAATCATCATAGTTAATGGAAATAATTGCTCAAATGTTTGAATATTGGTCTCATTGTGTAGATAATTGGCTAATTGAAAGAAAAGACACCGATCGACAAGGTCAAGAATCTATTATATCTTTCCATTTCTAGATCTCGTTCTGCTAGAAAAATATGCTATAAAGTACTGCATAATACTAACGGCCGTTAGTGAATCTCAAAAAAAAACTTTTCTTCACAAATTATTATAGATTGATAAATAGTTTATCTAAAGGCTTTACTTATGAAAGTGGCAGCTTCTTTTTTGATGACCTTTTAATATTTTAATTTAAGATTGAAATAAATCACATAGTTTTATACAGTTTTGATATTCTATACAATTTCATAAAGACCACAACAATTACTTTACTACATTTCGCTTGTTCAAAACACAATCTGCAACATCCAATCGGATCTTTTGTTGTATCACACACAACATATGATTAATGAAGAGAAATTCCTTTTATAACTTTTCAATCTATGCACACATCTTTCACCCAGTTAAGTTAATTCTTCTACTAATAAAATTTACACTATATAAAAGTAGCTGTTCATTTATTTATATTTTCACCACTTTACCAAATGCTTTAGATACAAAGTCCAATAGATCTGGTGAATCAGACAAGAAGAGACCAATTAGGGGTGGGTGAATTTAGATTGCGTGAATACTTACACCCATACCCCACCTATCCACACACCGACAACCACACCCACACCCACACCCACACCCACACCCATACCCACACCCACACCCACACCCAATCTCCACTGAAAGACGAAGGGTAATGATAAATTGCAATTTATTGTAGATTATTTCTGATTTTCACAGTATGAATACAGGAAGGATGAATCTACATTGTACTTGTATGCAACTCAAATATTAAGAACATTTTTTTTCGACAAAAAGTCATGCATTGCGGTCTGCTTGTGATTCATCAGGTTCATGGCAAAATCATGTGTTATTCTGGGTAAAATTTGCATTTATTTTAATTTAGATAGATTATAATTTTACACATTCTGAGTCTTTGTGTGATGGAAATATTTAAATCAAGCATATTAGCGAATTGTAACTGTTGAAATTCCCATTAGTTTGAACTTATTGTTGAATTTTTTTTGTTTTAAAAACGCTTTGAGTCATTGGTCGTTCATGATATGGATGCAAGAAACCAGTCAACAATGAGTCATCGTAGACATTTTTCTCTCGTATAAAAATAACGTGTTCTTTCTTTTGGATTTGCAGTAATGAGTCATGTATGGTAGAAAAAAAGTGATGAAAAATATTATTTTTCATCGCTTCTATAAAAACCCACAATGCTATCGCATTTATTCTATGTAATACTCCACTGTATTTTTTATACTCATATTTCCTGAAAAAAAATGCTTCGTGTCAAATCCAATTCAACTACTCGCGATCAAAAATATGTGGCATTAAAATCAGTCTCAATCGTTTCAAAAATTCGTTCATTCGGTGCAGATGTAAATATTACACAACTATTTCGAAATGATGAAAATGTGCCCATCGAAGCTGTATATTGTTTTCCAATCGAAGAAAATGCCGCAGTTTATTCATTTGTAGCAAAAATCGACGATCGAGAAATTCATGCTCAATTGAAAGAAAAAATTCAAGCGCAACAAGAATATACACAAGCCTTGCGACAAGGCCATGGTGCTTATCTTATGGAACAAGACGAAAAATCACAAGATATATTCATGATTAGTGTGGGAGCACTTCTTCCTGGGAAAGAATGTCAAATTCAAATTATGTATGTGACCGAATTGGATCTTGCTATTAACAACAAGATACGTTTCGTTATACCAACAACAATAGCACCACGATACAATCCGTCAGTTGGCGGTGTTTCATCTCCAGCGTGTACACAAGCAAAATATGTTCAATCAACACCGTATACAATCGAATTTCATTGTCAAGTTGATAAACTAAATGAAGAAATAAAAAGTGTTTCATCATCTTCACATCCAATTGCAGTTCAATTTAGTAATGACAGCTATGAAATAACATTTGCACAAAAGAATACATTCATGGATCGAGATATAGTTATAGACATTGATCTGCCGGCTAGAACAAATACAATTTTAGCTGTCGAAAACAATGGTGAACATCAATTGGCATTAATGGTATCATTTACACCGACAAGTGAAGATTGTAGTAAAGCGCTGAACTCAAGCAAAAATAGCAACTATGTTAATAATGAATTTATTTTTATTGTCGACTGTAGTGGTTCGATGCAAGATGAAAACAAAATTGGGCTTGCTCGTCAAGCCATGGTTCTATTTCTCAAGAGTTTACCAGTCGATTGTCAATTTAATATTATTCGATTTGGATCTGACTATAAAACGCTATTTAATAATGTGACCGAAAAATACAATGAACAAAATGCTAAAGTAGCTGAGCAGTTGATTTCACACATGTCTGCTGATCTTGGTGGTACTGAGCTATTGAGACCGTTACAATGGTTACAAAATCAGGCACCTTCTGCTGGTCATTCCCGGCAAATATTACTTCTGACCGATGGAGAAATATCCAACGTTAGTCAAGTAATGGATCTTTGTCGATTAATGTCAACATCATCAAGAATATTTTCATTCGGTCTTGGCCATTCACCAAGTCGATCATTGATTAAAGGTCTCGCTCGTTCGACGAACGGTCGATTCACATTCATACCTCCAGGAGCAAGTGTCGATATTTACGTTGCTGAACAACTTCAGAAAGCTCTTGAACCATGCATTACGAATGTCAAAGCTAAATGGAATATTCCATCGTTAGAATCGTCTAAACTTCAAACAATTCCAACGACTGTTCCACCTGTTTATGCCAATGATCGTCTTTTGCTCTATGCATTGGTCGAAAGTGATCAATTTGATCACTCCACAACAGTTGAACTCTGGAATCACGAAGAAACAGCTCAACTTGGACTAGCTAGAATTAATCGTGTACCGGAGATCACAGATAAGAATAATCAACTAATAGCACATCTAGCAGCAAAGGCTCTGATTCAAGAACTAACACATTCCAAAGAAACAACTGCAGGATCGAAGCAAATGAGATTCCATCAGAATATAGAAGACGATCGGAAAAAGCGACTAATCACTATTTCACTGAAACATAATATTCTTTGTCCACACACTGCTTTTATTGGTATTGAAACACGTACAAATTCATTAGGCAAGGATGTTAACTCCAGTATGGTGTTACGAGAAATTCCTATAGAAATATCAGCAGATGATAAAGCTATGATGAATTCGTCATTCGGAGGCCTTTCGACCCACTTTTGCTCTATTTCTAATTCCAATGCACCTTGTTTCAGCCCAAAATCTTGTGTGCAACAACAGCCAAATGTCACGTATATGCCCGCTTCTTGTGGAGGTTCAGGTTTTGAACAGCCAAGAGTAATGCCTCCTTTGAACGCAGCATCAACATTTTTTTCGAATGCATCGATGAGTAGACAACAACCGTTTCAACTAATTTCCTCAGCTATACCGCCGCTACCTCCAACAGCATCAATTTTTGGTGCATCTACCAATAGACTAACACATCCTCAATCACTTTCCTCAACTAACGCACCACCTCCGCCACCACCTCCAATAGCATCATTTTTTGATATAGATACCAATAGTCAACAATCTCCTGACTCATCTATCGACATTCTGGAACTAGAATCATGCTGTAATTTTGCTTCTCCTGCAATTCCAATAGATAATGACCTCGCTGATTACTTGTCTTTCTCTCCTACAAACAATGTTACACCCAACTCTACGTTCTCATCCTCAATGGTTGAACAGAAAACATGGCCATCAACTGATCAGGATATTGTTCGTCATTTGATCAATTTACAAAAATTTGATGGACTCTGGAATTTGAGTAATGGTGATATTCAGAATCTTTGTCAGAAGCCACTGACATCATTTGATTCAATTCACAGCGATAATTTGACTATTCTAACAACTGTCATTGTCATCATTGTGTTGGAAACTAAATACAGCGCTTTCAAAACAATGTGGTTATTTTTAGTCAGCAAGGGTAGAAAACGCTTAATTGAATTGTTGGGTGATGCTGAAAAAGTTGAAACACTAATCAACGATATCAAACATCAATTATAGTTTTTTAAGATTTCTGCTGTTTTTCTTTGTTTTGTTTTGTTTTATCCTGTATAATTCCATTGCAACTAGATAGAGCCCTATTATTCAAAGATTTTATTTACTGTGTGTGATTTTTCTTATTCAAGAATGATTATTCCCTTTTTATAATTATGCATGATAATTATCAATAAGTCTCACAAAAATAACTTAAGTTTTAGTTGCCAAAGCTTTTTTCAGAGGAGCAACTGTTAAGACATTCTTTTTCGATAGAAATTATTATAAACGAATAACGTAGAGTTGCAAGCCGGAGTCAATGATTTCCTACTTGCGGATGAATGCGGGCGTGAGAAATACGACGCACATTATACCCATACCCGACACGCAAATTCGATTAAATATAATTGTTCATGGTTCTATTTTTACCAGTTCTCTAAAATTAATCACACATTCAGCTAAGGATCTATATTATAGTTTCAATAATCCTATTTTTGATCGATGTTGTCAACATATTTTATCTCAAATATATATGATAAAATAAAATAGGTTAATGCCGAATCATCATATATGAAACATATTCTACCTTCTATCAATTATCCTAATTTATACGGACTTGGCTTACATGATTTTGAAGTCGGAATAGCTGAATATCTTTTCACTGTCACACAAAGTTTTATTGTTTAAGAGATTAATAAACAAGATTAGAAAGCAAAAATGTTGTTTACATGACTTTGATATAATACTAAATAGATGTTGTAGGTTTTGTCCATGATAAATAAAGTTTTCGATTTTGTCTACGTTTACCTATGAATCAGAAGATACATAAAATTGTTATACAACAATCAATAAAAACAAGTAAAAAATCGAGAAGATTCATTGACATGCATGTTAGGGTCTGACAACTTTAATAGTTAATGTCAGAGATCGACAGCCCTTCATGACTAGTTATTTGTTTTCTCGTTTGGTTGTTAGACTGACCTATAAACCAATTCAGTTTTCGCTGACCATAAGAATATAAACGGATATCTTTTCTACTAGTGTGTAACCAATTCCAGGATATAATACACAATTAGGAAGAACGTCACAAACTGCATCACAATTTCTAATTAAATAAATATTATGCAACCGAAAGTTTGAATGGTTAAATTCTGTGTATATACCACACGAGTATATGCCTCAATTTATTGTTGGAAATTAATTTCTCTACCAAAGTTTACTCTTGAAATATAAAATATTCAACAGTCTCACGAGGCACTATCAGTTTTCAAAAGAAAATACAAAGAATTGAGGTATATCAAAACACTTAATGAGAGCGTAGGTTCATATTTATTTAAATCTAAAAGAAGCTTCAACGCATACTATATATTTTGATAAAGTATTATATTGGAAACTATGCTTCACGTTGAATATATTGAATTATTTTTTCATTTGACTAAGTTTACATTCAATTCTGTGTTCAAACTATAGTTAAACTTTTGTTTCTACTATGCTTTTCGAAACAACTGATACTGACTCATGAGACTGTTGAATATTTTATATTTCAAGAATAAACTTTTGTAGAGAAATTAATTTCCAACAATAAATTGAGGCATATATACTCGTGTGGTATATACACGGAATTTAACCATTCAAACTTTCGGTTCCATAATATTTATTTAATTAGAAATTGTGATGCAGTTTGTGACGTTCTTCCTAATTGTGTATTATATCTTGGAATTGCCCATACAGAAAAGATAATGGTGTAATGGCATTAAAATGCCTTCGAATTTACACAATTATAATGATGCGAAACTGTCACAAAAAATGCCCAAAAAATGCTGTTCCTCCAAGGCATTAAAATGATTGCTTTTGGACATGTAGAAATTGTTTAACAGGTGACAAAATAATGGCTATCACATAAACCATTTTTTGTGACTCTTGCACAACATTATTTTCGTTATTTCGTCGTCATAATAATTATTCGATTTCTCCTCAAAAAAATAATTATTTTAAAGCCTCCCCTCTCAAAAAAAGGTTTTTCCCAAAAAGTACAAATCCCATGATATTTTCCAGACATGCTGGAACTATAGTAGAGATGTTATGGCAAAATTTTCAACTCGATAATGAAAGCTTTTCAGGAGATCCTCATCAAGCAAGAGACAAAAAGAGTTCTTTTGGCAATCCAACTTATTCTGCTGGGCTCCACTGTATATGTGGAATATTTTTTATGCGAAATAGCATACCAACATGCAGTGCAATACAGAGCCTTTTGCTCGAAATCCTTCTCTTTCATTATATAGAAACAGTATTACAAGTTTAATAATTTAGACATCCCTCCAGAAATTGTGCTTCTTTTTATCCATCAGCACGGCGAGTGTTTGAGCTGCTAAACTTGTAATACTGTTTCTATATAATGAAAGAGAAGGATTTCGAGCAAAAGGCTCTGTATTGCACTGCATGTTGGCATGCTATTTCGCATAAAAAATATTCCACATATACAGTGGAGCCCAGCAGAATAAGTTGGATTGCCAAAAGAACTCTTTTTGTCTCTTGCTTGATGAGGATCTCCAGAAAAGCTTTCATTATCGAGTTGAAAATTTTGCCATAACATCTCTAGTATAGTTCCAGCATGTCTCGAATATATCATGGGATTTGTACTTTCTGGGAAAAACCTTTTTTTGAGAGGGGAGGCTTTAATCTATACTCATGTCATGTTTCGTATAATAAGTTTCCAAACATTTATACAAGTTTGATTTTTCCCTTTATTTCTCGGCAGTTGTCAGGAAATAGCTTACATTGCCCTCACAGAATTGTTGTTTTGGCTCTGTGTTTTAATTTCTTCCTCTTTATTTACTCTTTTTGAAAACATCAATTTAACAAATACCACCTTAAAAGATAGTAAGACATAGAGATAGTTGGGCACACTTTATTTATCACTATTAATATATCAAGGAAAAGTCTGATGTCATTGTCATGTTAATAATATTTTTATTCTATATTATTTCTTCGTACTGTTTCAATTAATAACTCAAACTAACGTGAACAATTAGATAAAGCACTAAGCATGACAAGACATTAAACTTTCGATAAATTTGAAAATTTCTACAATCGTCATATTATTAATCTGCACGAGGATTCTTCAAGGATGATGATATTTTTAAACTGTTTCTTTGGGTTAATAGTAAAATGTGTTACATATTATTGACTCTATCGAAATATCGTTCAAGATTCTCATATTTCTAAGTAAAGTTGTAACCGAAAACAAAACCAAGGGTCTCTCAATTTTGTCACTAGTTTCGGCTTTCTGCAAATACCTTCTAACACCCTTCAATAACTGTAAAATTCATTAATAAAGCAAAACCAGATTTTCACAAATTTATTGGTAATAAATAAAATTGTCTAACCGACAGAAGATATTTTTCTTAGCTACATAGTGAACGCTGGTATTTTACGAAAAAAAATTGAATCGACTGTATTTTCAAACCGCTTTAACATTCATTTTTCGATCATCTTTTCACCTAACTTCTTCCCATGTAAATATGTAGTGATATTTAAAAGAGGATCATAACCAATTTTCAACTTGCAAAAACCCATGAAATAGGAGATCTTATGCATGGGAGATTCTGTACATTTGACTTCTAATTATTAATGTAGTATATTATAAAAAATATCCTTTTATTATTTTCGATATAAGAAGGAGAAATGGCATCCTTCATACATCTTTAAAAAATAGAGCAATTCGATCTTGCTTCCTTTATATTTCCTTTCAGCTCTCTCTCAAGACAAAGACAACGATCATCCAATAATAACGAACCAATCGAAAATTATCGAAATATAGAGGTCGCCCGTGATTTGCCCAATTATCATAAACAAATAACTTAAATATATATAGATATCTATACATAATATATATAGGCGTTTTTCATAAATATATATACAATTGTACGATTTAAAAAAAAACTATGTTTAAATAACACTTGATTATAATGAGATTAATATCCTGTTACAAGTGTATAAAAAGATCATTCAAATAAAGAGCTTTTATATTCGTTTAGAACGGTCATATATCTTATGCTAAAAGTACTGTTTCAAATGGAATCGCGAAATGAACGGCTTAAAATAATATAAGAAAAATAAATACTCGATTTATTTAAACTGTCCTTTAATGAAAGGATAACAATACAATTCACTAGACAAAAGAGTTATAATCATACGCATAAGCTTAATAGTGAATTGTCCGGCCTGGATAAACGAATCATATCGAGATATATGCGTAATCACTCTTTTCAGGTCATTTCTTCTGTATGTGTTAGACCCCAAACAGACTGAAAAAATAAAACGAATTAAACGACGTGATTGGTCTATTCTGACTTAAATCATCTTTTTCAGACGATTTATTCGTTAATTCAGTTTTAATTCGCTTTATTTTTTTTTCAGTCTGTTTGGGGCCTTCTTCTTCTTTACTTAATGTTATATGTTTGATATCACATATCATCTTTCTTTTTTTTCTCTTCTATATATATATATATATATATATCGATACATTCTATAGACGCATCATTCAGTTTCTTATTCACCATCTGTTAACACATATACACTATCCTGATATTTTTATTTTTTCACCGTCAAAATATAATTTCATGGCACCTAAACGTAAAACAATTGCCGCAACAGTTTCTTCCAAAGCCACAAAAAAACGTCAATCTCAACGAGTTGTTGGTAAGATGGTTCATGAGGGAAATAAATCTGATGTAATCGCGCAAAAAAAACAATCTCGGCCTCGATCAACTGGAAAAAAAATGTATCTTATAAAAATGGTAATCTCGACAATGATTTGAAAATAATTACTGAAGAAGGTGAGTTATCAGTCTTTTTTTCTTACTAGGCATTATGTGTAACATATCTATAGATTCAAACGAAAATCGAAAAGCAATGAGTATTGATTCCAATGATGCTGATTCAGGTCAACAAGAGGTATTAATGTCTAATTCTTGTTCTTTGAATACAAGTTATGGAGATGCAAATGTCAAAACGTCAACAGTTTCTCAATTTGATATCGATGATGATGATGATACAAGTGAATTTGAAGCTATGTTTATGCCGATAGCACCTCGGTTAAAAGCTATATCAAACTACAGTTCAACACCATTAGTACGATCTCAGTACCATAACCAGTAAGTCTTTTCATTATTGCACATAAATTTATATTCCATATCGCGAATTTAGATCTGGCACACGTACCAATGCTGAATCACTCTCATTGCATGGGATGGAAAATAACACAAGTACACCATTATCAACCATCATCATCAGTAATCAATCGACAACACCTAATATAAACATCCAAAAGCTCAATACACCTTCTAATCCACGTGCCAAATCAAATTTATCAGCTTCTAGTCAAGCGTCTGCTAGTAATCAATCTTTATCTAACATCAATTATACCACAAACAATAGTGCTATACTAGAAACATTTAGCGAATATCGCAACTTAAAACGTGATTTACAACAAGCGTCGCATCAAATTGAAAATTGGAAATCAGATTATAATACGTTAAAGCGTCAAATGGAAAAACTTAAAAATAACTCATTTCGTACGTTTCTTTCCATATCATGCTATCTTTTATTTTGTTATTATTTCTTTTTAGCTCGTCCTACTGCTGAAGGTCGTATTTTTATCGAACAATTATTGGAATCATTAAAATCTGGTGAAGGTGTCGGAGATAAACGTTCCTTAAGTCAATTAGCAATCGACATTGGTGTACCAGAAACAGTACTTTTATCTTCTTCCAGTATTGATCCACAAAAATCGGCTTTACATGTATTTAATTATCTTTTTCCTACAAATGAAGATAAAGTATCACTTTTAAATGTTGCCAATGTTATGATTAAATATCCAAGTTTATTGGACAATATATTTGGTAAGTGACTTTGTATTCTGTATTCTATTTTCTGCCTTTCTAACGCTGAAATATACACTGAAATTCACTTGTGATCAAGACTTTTGAAATCGATTAGTAAATGTTAAAATTTTCTGTCGAAGTTCAGATGAATCCACGAACATAGTGGTTCTAGAAAAAGAATAGACAGAATGCTATACGAATTTGTTTTGAACATTCGAATATCTACGGAAGATACTTTTGCTAAGAAAGTCATCATTTAAATTATTAAGTAACTGGTGATCTTTTTGTTTTAGTTTTTGCACGACGAAATGCACCCGGCTGCAGTTATTCAATAGCATCGATGAAGGAAAGTATAGGAAATTCTATTCGTTGTGCTCGTCACAAGCACAAGATGGGGCACGCTAGATTTATTGCAGCAGTAGCAGTGAACCAATTGAATCAAAATCATGACAATGATAATGTTGAATGAATGTCATGAAGGGATGATGCATTTTGAAAGTGACTTTAATTCATTTTTCTTGCTGCACTGTCCTACTTTGCATTTTTTGGAGAAACAATATTCTCCACGAGTATTTATTACAAATAGTTTTGTAATTCAACTAATTATACAAGTTTTTCTTTCTACATTTTCTGTGTAAGGTTCTTTTGTATTCATTTTTGTATAAACATAGAGTTTGTTTTGTTTTTTTCTTTTTTCTTGATATCAATGTATTTGTCTCTATGTAATCATCATTCAACGACTGTGATTAGGTATACCTATTCTTGTACATATCTTCTCTTAATTGTAAAGATATTTTTTTTATCACTTTATTGTATTTGTATATTATACATATATGTATATGTGTTAATGAAATTGATTCAAACAACGAAAAGATTTATAATAAACAAATAAATATATTATAAAAGATAAATCTATTGTTATTTATTCATAAAACTGCAGTTTTCTAAGTAAAATACTGTCAAGAACTATGAGGTAACTAAATACAGATGATGATATCTTGCGAATATAAATATCTATATGTCCCATCGCAAGTAAAAGATCTGTTTTTCATTGATGATTTTTTGATTTATCTTGAACTAATAAACAATACTTCTTTCTCTAATCTATATTTCGATCAATTGCTTGCCTTCATGGTGAGGATATACTCCCATTGCCCTTCTTACTTGAATATCAATTGGAGTTCATTTCCAAATAAAATTTAATCTCTATTAATTTTTTTGGAGCTTGTGCGAAGCTGTTTGCTTATCTAATACATTAGATATTAATTAGATCACATCTGACGATTCGGATTTAATAAAATGTTTACGGCACGAAAAAGACTATCACGTTTAAATCAACGATTGTCGCATGCATACCGTCGACAATTAGCTTTACATACTGTAATTGATGTTTTCAAGTAAGTTCTATTGAATTCAACTGATATAGTATTAGGTCGGCTTTCGAATATTAGTTACGCAGGTGCTGATGTTTCCATACCTGTGTCATCCTCATCATTATCGACTACATACAATATTCCATCTCCATCTTCGTTATTACTTCCATCGACATCGCCAATAGCACCAATTGTTTTAGGACGCAATACCCAGGCAGACAAACTTTTGAGAAAACGCGTGTACACACCGTAAAATTGACTTTTCGAAGCGTTTACACGCGTTAGAAAAAAAGTGGACGTGTAAACGCCCNCCATACCTGTGTCATCCTCATCATTATCGACTACATACAATATTCCATCTCCATCTTCGTTATTACTTCCATCGACATCGCCAATAGCACCAATTGTTTCAGAACGCAATATGTGCCATTCTTCTTCTCTTTCTTCTTCGTCTTCTTTATCATCTTTATCAGATTATCTTGACAATTCAGATAATGACTCTTTTTGTGCCATTATCAATGAAGAATTCAATTCGATCAATTTAGAGAGGTCAGAAAATACTTTCACAAAAATTTCTGTCGATGATGACTTGCAAAATTCTACAGCACCTCTTACATCAAAAGAAATAGGCGTGTTACTCATTGAATTACGATATCGACATTCATTAACGAAGTCATGTATCACACACATTTGTCAACTTTTACAATTATTACAAGTTCCAAATGCTCCAGTCAGTTTTGGCAGTATTGAATCTAAAGTACTTTGTGCTTATCAATCAACAGTTTTTCCATCTCAAAGCATAATATGTCCCTCTTGTTATAAGAGATCTTCCAATTTGAAAAGGTGTACGAACACTCAAGATTGTATATCCAAAGATTCATTTATTCGTTCACCAACTATCAATTATACTTTTGCTCTCGAGCCACAAGTCCGATCGATACTTGAAAGAAATCAGATAGCGTTTCGAAAATTTAATCATGATTCTATTTCAGACGTAACTGACGGGGAAGTTTATAAAATATTACTCAGAAAAGAGGCAAAACCGTTTGTAACACTGTTGATGAACTCCGATGGTGGTTTAGTCAAATCAATCTCAGCATCAATGTGGTTAACAACCTTAGTAGTTAATGAATTGCCCAGATCATCACGATTTCTTCCAGAGAATACTATCATTGGAATGATTTCTACAGGAAGCATGAAACCAAAAAAAGATGAAATGTCGTCGATTATGCAAGATCTTGTAAACGAACTTCTTCATTTGGAAAACAGAATTCATATACTCTTTCCAACAGATGAATCAAATAATCTAGAACAAATTGTGAAAATATTCTTGCTCAGTTGTGTTTGTGATAAACCAGCAACATCTCTCCTACTTAATCATACAGAGTGTACTGGTTTCTACGGTTGTACTTATTGTAATATAAAAGGTAATATTATATGCATGGGGAAGCGAGTGATCGTCGATTTACTGCAGATTAAAAACACTCTTCTCTTAAATTTTTCATACGAAACAGACCAATGGTCAATAGAATTTTCTTTGTGAATTTTTATCTAATGAGATAAAGTTTATTTTCCCGTTTGTTTCATTTTTCTCGTCTGACTCTTACTGGTTACAGGTAAATCGGTAGAAGTAGGAAAAACGACAATTCGTTCATTTGCGTATGATCCACGTGAAAAAATTTCAATACGATCCAACAAAACATATGACGATGCAATCACATTCATTGATAATGTAAGTTGAATTCTATACTTGATTAGTTTTGAAAGATATGTATTTAGGGTTACAAATTAATTAACTCGAATGATACTTTCTCAAAAGCAGCAGCTGTTGAATATTTACAAGGTTTAAAGGGACCATGCCTCCTTCGCAATTTGAAATATTTTAATATTTACAATTCTTTTGTTTGCGATACATTACATAATCTTTACTTGGGAGCGGCGGTAGATATTTTTCGTTGTTTTTTTAATTATTACTACCTTGCATTTAGGCAAAAATGTTGAAACTACTGTTGTCAAAACCATCTGTCACTGGAGGTATATCAGATGCTATGAGTGTATATGGTCAAATAGATAGTATTGCTGAAATTATCAATTCAATTTCGTTCCCGTCGACAACATATCGACAGCCAAGGGACATTCGTCTATTTAGAAAGTTCAAAGGAAATGAGTTACGCATTATTTTATTGTTCGGATATTCGTAAGTTTCGTATCTTTCCATTTATATTTTATTTCTCTATTTTATCTAGAGCATTTGAAAATTTTCTTGATCAAGGTCGTTATAATCATCTCAAAGTATTAGCTTTTATAGCACATATAGTCGAAGGACAATGCCTCTCTAAGGAAGCTCATAAGGAGGTAGAGTATTTAGCAACGTATTTCGATGAACAATTCACCTCTCTCTATACGGTGAGCTATTTTCTTTTGGCTTCTTTAAGTATATTTTTCGATGAAGGAGAGACATGTTGTGTCTGTGATCCATTCAATTCGTCATTTTCATTCGTGCATTCGAAACTATGGTCCAATGTTCAATTATTCAACATTTGCTTTCGAATCTACAATGGGTTTGTTTTTAATCTTTTCTTTACATTATCGAGTTGATTGTATCAATAGCATCACTTTCTCGAACTGTACACAGTAGATCTACACCTGTACGTGAATTGATTAAAAATATTGATCTGTATCGTCAGGCATCTATTTGCATTTCCTCTCCGTCATTTTCAATGTATGGAAAAGAATATATTTCACGAATATCTTCTGCTATACGTCAAATTACATTTAATTATGAAGACAGTCATCCCAAAATGAAACTTCATAACAAAATCAATTCAACGCCATCCAACTTCTTCATCCAATATCTAACTTTATCTCAGTTTAATATTTTATTTTACAAAACATTATTTATTGATCATTTACGCTTCAGTGCGGATGATTTTACTGTACGCCGACGTTCCAATGACGCTTGCGTCTTGTATAAAACAAAAAAGAACTCTTATTCAATTGGATTCATAGTATATGTCACTCATTTGATTGATAAAAATGAGATCTATCTAGTTTTGAACAAAGTGAAAATAATTTCAACCGCTGACACTCTCGACATTCAAGGAAGAAGTTTTATATGCAAAAATATTTTAAAGGGTACCGTTGCACCTGACTCCACAGCTATAATTCAACCATCTCAAATTACACAAAAGCTCGCTTTTCGACCAATATTTAACGATGATCCATCAGTATTAAATACTTTTCTTTTTTGTCAATATCCTAACTTGAAAGAATGTTCCTAACTTATGTTACTCTAAAACAATAAACGCTTATAACTCAAACGTAGCATTATCATATAATTTCTAGGTACTTAAAATAGCTTCTACATCCGCCTAAAACTTTAAAAAAGTAGAGTCTGTTTCCAAGAATAATGGTCAAAATGGATCATTACTAGATCGAAATGCATTTTAATGAATATTTATCCATAATTTAATGAAAAAGGAGCATTTTAATAGTCAGAATGTTCGTGTTAAGTATCATAATGCA